CATGGTGGCCCAGTCGTCCCTCCCTTAGCTTCCCTTAAGGATATCATCAACCAGCTGCTTCCTCTGAAAAAAGTTATTCTTTGGCAGGTTCAATCACTCCTAGGGCATCAGAACTTTGCTTGCCATGTGGTTGCCCCAGTCGGGCCAGACTCACAGCAGGATTGCAGTCTCCCCATCATTGGGTATGCCTTTCCAAATAAGTCAAAGCGGATCTGGCTGTCTGGCTCAGGTTTCTAGCCAATTATAATGGGGTCTCCCTTCGGCGTGATAATCTGAAGGTTTTTAATTATTTCCAGGTTCATTCTGACGCGGCAGGATCCCTGGGCTTCAGGGTCTACTTCAAAGGTCGTTGGTGCGCACAACGGTGGCAAATCAACTGGCGTGGAACTTCAATCACACACAATTTAACTTTTCTGGAGTCCCCCCCCCCCATAGTGGTTGCAGTTCACCTCCAGATTTATGACTTCAAGAACTGGCAAGTTTGCTTCTGGACTGACAATCAAGCTGTGGTCAACGTCCTTACCAGGCAATCTTCACACTCTGATAGGATGTTATGTCTGCTCCACTCCTTTGTCCTTTTGTGTCTAGAATCTAATATTGTTTTTTCAGCCAGATTTATCCCTGGGGTTAACAGCAGCATTGCTGATGCATTATCCAAGTTCCAGATGGATCATTTTCCATGGTTGGCACTGGAGGCCCAGCAGTTACCGGAGCCATTCCCGGAGCATCTTTGGAAATTTGGAAGCTTGATGTTATGCACAGAGTATTAACCTTGATAGCACCATCCACACTTAAATCTTACACAAAGGCATGGTCCAATTTCATTGTTTTTCCATGCAAAATCTCTTTCCATTGGCTAACCACCCTCCCATAGATGATCAAGTGTTGCAATACCTTGTACACCTCTGGAGGTTGGGTCGCATGCCCAAAACCTTATCCATTCAAACAGCCTTTTTTTAGCAAATGCATTTATTCTGTTGATCCTTGCATAGCATTCATTGTGTGTAGGGTGATTGAAGGTTGGTGTAGACTTCAAACACCTAACATGGACGGTAGGAAGCCAGTCACATTTGACCTCCTGTGTGGTATCCACAGAATATTAAGAACCACCTGCCGGTGAAAATATGAAGGCCACTTGTTCTCTGCTGCATTCTCCATTGCATTTTTGGGGACCCTTAGGGTGGGCTAATTCATCAATGAGGGTGAGCCTGGTGCCCTCTCCAGAGGGCTTCTACTTGAGGACATAAACCTGATGAATTGGTTGTCTATATTTGTCACTCAAAAACTGATCAGTCAAGTAAAGGGACCCTCATCTGGCTCCCCTCGTTGGAGCACAAGGGCCCCTGTCCAGTGAAACACCAGGAAATATCTTTACCTCAGGCCTCCTGGCCTGGGCCCCTTCCTTATTCACCAAGACCATTCTTGCCTGGCCAGACATCAATCTACTCACATTATGCACAGGGCCATACAGGCTTGGAGCCTACCAGCCATGGATTTTGTGGCCCATTCCTTCAGGATGGCCACTGATAGGGGTCTGCCTCCGGATAGGATTAAAAGGTGGGTCGTCGGACTTCTAATGCATTTAGGAAATATAAGAACCCACAATAACAACACAGTGTCACTCCTTCATTTTCAGGCACTTCTGGGATTAACATCTGGATTGTTGGGCACATCATCCCCCACTGGGCCTGCATGCGCGCCATCGCTACTGGCATGGGAAGCAGCTTGGGGCTTCCTCTGAATGGCAGAGTCTCCTGGTTGTATGGAGTGGTATGAGTCCATGCCCATTATGACATCTACTGCTGTGCAACATGGTCCCCTGGTGTGTTGTTCATTCAGCTGGGCGAGAACGACTTGGTTCTAAGGAAGGGCATTGACCTGAACTGGAACATCAAGGAGGACTTTGATAGCCTTTGGCCCAGTACCTGGATTTAACCATAATTCGGTCTCAGCCAATGGAGAGGCGTTGCTGGCATGATGGCCCTGACCCGGTGGCCATCAATAGAACCAGAAAGAAGGCTAACTATTGAATGGCTGTGTGATACGGCAATCCACCATCATTTTCAACCAGGAGGTCTTGGGCAAGCATTTGTTTAAGGGAGGGGAGGCTGTAGCCTCCGCATGCCCCTGCTCAATAAGGCTATCCTGTTAAAGGGATCTGGGGTGTGGATCCTGTCCCAGGCGTTGGCTAAGGCCATGCCATGACCCCAACAGGGACTCCTTGGGGTGCCCCTATTTGATGTAAGTCATAGGGCTCCCCTTCTGGTGGTTTACCCATAGTGCAACTCCCTGCAAAAGGCAGGAGTCAAGATATATCCTGGTCCAACCCAATGCCTAAGCCAAACTACTCACATTTGGAACCAATAAAGTTGTGGCCTGTTTTAGCCCATACTTGGGTTGTGGTGTTTATTATTCATTGGGAACTGGGGCGTGTGGGATCTTGGCATGCAACACAAATGTCAGGCAAATATTAACCATTACTCTTTTTTGTGAGGAAATGTAACACCCTGTATTGCACCTGCAACTGGAGTCTGCACTATTTTAACTTTTTCTGCCTCCCCTTAACTGGTGTACAAGGATACACCAGTTGCTGCTGCTGCTCTTGTTGGTACACCCCTGAGGTCCAAAATCCTAAAAATCACATCTCCATTGGTGACACACATATACTTGTGGGAAATTGTGCATGTTTGATTGAGGAAGAGATTTGGAAAAACTATTGAGCTCCCTTCAGATTACCGGTTTGCAGGTGGGCTGCTTGCTTTCCTGTGACTCGCCATTCCCAGTGCACTGCTCAATGAGAAATGTGTATGATTATTTTGCTCTTATTATTTTGTCTCACAGAGCACATATGCCCAACGGAGATAACTTTGGAAACCAGTAATTATCTCAAACTGATGGGTTTCATCATCCATCTTGCCAAATCCCATGTCAGACCAAGAACATAGTCAGAGTGTAAAAGCTTATATTAAGTAAACCCTGTGATATTCAGAGCCCCAATGAGAAATTCTGAACACACAGGTTTTCCTGGGCCAGATCTTTGGCACTTTCCATTAATCAAAGTAATCCAGAGCTATTAAATTTAATATCTCGTAATGCAATTCATAATGGATGAGAAAGAAATCTGCCTTTCTGCATAAGTGTTGGACAAGATGAGAGGAGCATTTCTGCTGCTGCTCCTTCTCTTCCTGTGGCTCCAGATGCCTCCAACTGAGTGCAAGGAAGACTCTGAGAGATGCACCATGACGGATCCATTCCAGCTTCCATTCCAGTATTATCAGAAAGGGGACCTATTCATTGGAGGAATTATTAATACTTTTGGCTATGCATCTGATGAATTAGATTTCAAGTACCACCCAAACACAAAATTTACAGATGAAGTTTTGTAAGGAAATCACTCTCTCCTTCATAGTGTGCACTTCTATATGCTGCTATAGGCTACAACTACACCATACAAACCATGGCATGCTCAGAAAATGTTTGGCTTCTTTTCCATGTATCAAGGTTAAAAATACAGTTTATTCTCTTTATATTGTGATCATGGCATCTTCTCCTGTGTTGCTTTATTCCTCATCTGGAGGTTTCTGTCTTCTGCCTCTTCTGCTTTCTCCTCACCTGATCTCATGCTTGATCCTCTTCCTCCCTCTGTGTTTCCTTCCACACCAAGGATGGATGGTTTTACTTTGCAGCAAAACTTGATCCCCACATTCACAATCAGCATCATTCAATCTGTCAGTCACAGATGCTGTGAGACAGGAATATCATAGATTCTGGATTATATTCACACCTGGACCATTTTAAAAATATTTTAAAATATTGGGGGAAAATGACGGAAGTGTTGCAAATGGTTTTTTTTTTCTAAACAAAGTATGTAAGATATATGCAGAGAAAAGAAACTGAAATTAATACCTCTAAGTTTGTCTGATCTATTAAACAAAAGAGATAAGCGAATAACATGTATATGTGTGTATTGCAGGATGTGAATGTTCTGCACAAAATTAAATGCTTTTTACCGTCCATACTTTTTATTGATTTTCTTCCACAATAAAAATATAAATACAAACCCAAATTAGAAACCAAAATAAACATAAAAATACAAAAATCCTTAAACTAAAAGAAAGTTATATTACTTATGTTTCTTCTTAATTCACAATTCCTTAATTTTCTCCCTTAGACTTCCCATCCTCCTCCTCATTGAGGGTCTGTGTTTATTTTTCTTTTAGCACCACTACTTCAAAACTCATTATCTTTATTATCTATAACCTGTATTCTTTTTTAGCTTATATTTTGCAAAGTTTAATCAAAGCAAGTCCAGGTTTTTACTTGTGGACAATGATTAATTAAATATTCCTTATAAATAGTCCTTATAAATTCCCCATTCTTTTTGTAGCTTTGCATTGATTGTCTCTGTCATTTTTGCTAGTTCTAAGTATTCAAACAATTTCTCCTGCCATTCCTCTTTTGATGGTATCGATTTTCCCTTCCAACTTCTGGCAACCAGTATTCTGGCAGCTGCCATAGCATATAAGAATTTTTTTTCTTAGAAATTTCTGGACCCAGTATTCCCAGGAGGAAGACTTCTAACTCTTTTGTAAACGTTTCTTTGAACATTTTTCTTTGAACATCTCCTATCTTTCCTCTTCTCCTACTATACCTAATAAAAAGGTTTCTGGTTTTTTAACAAAAGTACTTTAAAACATTTTCTTTAACTCATTATATATCATTTCCCAGAAAGCCTTTACCACTATACAAGTCCACCACATGTGGTGAAAAGTACCTTCCTTCTCTTTACATTTCCAGCATTCATTAATTCTTGTTCAATACCATCTATACATCATTTCATAAAAATTGAATGCTTTTTAGATGCTATATTCCTAAAGCTGAATTAATACTGACCATGGATTTCCATTATCAAGTGTTAGGAAGCACAATGCATTTGAGTATTTTTGCTTATTTGTGGAATAAGCCAGGAAATCACCAACAACTCTTTTAATAGTTCAACAATGAAGGACTACCAGAATACCCTCTCCCTGGTGTTTGCTGTGAAAGAAATCAATGAGAATCCTAACATCGTACCGAATATGAGCTTTGGGTTCAACCTCTTTGATAGCTTCGTAAATACAAGGATGACTTATCAGAACACCCTGAAACTTCTGTCCACCACAGAAAGGATTGTCCCCAACTTCAAATGTGACAAGAAAAGAAATATGATGGCTGTTATTGGAGCACTTGACTCTGACATCTCCCTTCACATGACTACCATCTTAGGCATCTACAAGATTCCACAGGTATGATGATGATGATGATGATGATGATGATATGCCATCCATCTGTCTGCATTGATCCAGCCACTCTGGGTAGCTTCAACCAAGTTATAAAAACCACAGTAAAGCATCAAACATTAGAAACTTCCTGATAAAGGGCTGCCTTCAGATGCCTTCTAAAAGTCAGATGGTTGTTTATTTGCTTGACAACTGATGGGAGGGCGTTTCACAGGGAGGGCGCCACCACTGAGAAGGCCCTCTGCCTGCTTTCCTGTAACCTCACTTTTGCAGGGAGGGAACTGCCAGAAGGCCCTTGGATCTGGACCTCAGTGTCTGGTCTGAATGATGGGGGAGGAGACACCCCTTCAGGTCTACTGGGCCGAGGCTGTTTAGGGCTTTAAAGGTCAGCAACAACACTTGGAATTGTGCTCAGAAATGTACTAGGAGCCAGTGAAGAGGTCTGGTTTTATATGGTCACTCCCTGTCACCAGGTTAGCTGCCGCATTCTGGATTAGTTGCAGTTTCCACACTACCTTCAAAGGTAGCCCCACGTAGAGTGCGTTGCAGTAGTCCAAGCAGGAGATACTGAGTGTGTGAGCTGTGAAGCTTTCCTGCCTCTGGTACAATAATTATCTTCTGGTTCTTCATACTACTTTTTACCTTGGTTCATTTTCCAGAAAAAATAACTGAAAAAATAATAATATAACATATACAAAAGTGTCTGGATTTCATCATTCCTTTAGGGGGGAGAATCATATTTGGAAAATAAAGAGTTCCCTCACTGGTATTGATGGTCTCCATTTGGGGCAGGGAGCTCTGCAGTCATGTTGGAAGGGTTAGGGTTGCAAAAGACCAGTTGCGAGAGGGCAGAGAAAGGATGCTAGCCAACTACTGCTGGAGATACGCACTAGGTTATGGTGAGATCGACATGCATCCATAAATGGATTCTTCCCTCTTTTTGCCTTTTTCTGTTCCACAAGGATGTTGAAGGAATGACCATGATGGTCCCTCCGCACCAGCTGGTTTGATCTATACAGGCATTAATTAATATGTGTAATTAATCTGTGAATGTCTGTTTCCCTCAGTTCCTCCTGTTTCCAATCTCAAGGGATGACCACAAAAATGTGTCCATTTCTCCCATTTTAGCCTAATCCACATATTTACCAGCAATTTCTTCAAGGTAGTATATTTTGGATTTTATTTTCACTAAGAATTGCACTTTTATGACAAGTGTCGCTTAATCAAACCATTTATTTGGGGTTGGAGAAGGGAAATGCAAAATACAGAAAAGGACAAAGGTCAAAGGACAGTCGCATTTTGGTTCACAAATTCGTTTCTGGAATTCTGAGTTACGTAAATTTGCATTAAAATGTGAACCCAACTGAATTTCTCTCCTGTTGCTTGTTGTGTCTCATCAGAAAGGGATGTTGCTTGTCCATATATTGCCCACTAGCCCAAGCCTCTATGTCAATGGTCAGGGATGACCACTTGGGGTCCAGGAAGCTCTGAAGGGCCATAGCTTCCTCACTTAGGAAGTGAACCATGATGTCCAGGTACAAAGAGTTTCTGGACAGACAATCCAAACAAAGTTTCATTGAGCTGTACTTCCTTTCTTCCAAAGTAGTAGAAACTTGTAGGAAAATGTCCAGAGCTTCCACTAGTTTAGTGGTGTATTTCAGCACCAATTATAGGAAAACATGAAGTCTTTATTTTGTTACCTTTCCAAGTGGTTGCAATCAAGCTAAACAAAATACTCTGTGGGGAGGGGGATGCAAAATAATCAACCAATGAAGAAGAAAAATAAGAAAATGAATATCTAGGACCTTACTGTAAAACCGAAGTAGTTAATCAAAAGCGTAATTCAGGGAAGAAAATGACAATATTGTTGGCATTAGAGAACTAAAGATTTGAGCATTTCATCCTCATAGATCTAATATCACTTAAGAAATAGTTCACTTTCTACATACTTCATTGTAAACGATAAACCTGACCAAGATGTTGTGATTGATGAGTAATGGATTCAGGGTTTTATGTCGTAACACTTGCTTAGAAGACATCTGAGGAAGATTTTAATGTTTGATGTTTTACCATGTTCTTAATATTCTGTTGGGAGACACCCAGAGTGGGCAGGGTATAAATAATAAATAATTAATATTATTATTACTAATATTAATTCCCCCAGTATATAAAACTAAAGAATATATCTTTACATTCAATGAATTCTCATGGGTTCCACTTCAGGCAGCTATGTGGGATGAATCCTAATCCTTTGCTATAACTCTCCCATTTTTGTGAGGTTGACTTCTTCCTTAGATCGCTTATTGTGTATTAGCTCCAGTGAGGAGGACCGAGTTGCAGCTCCAAACCTTCTTCCGGACGGTGCCCAATGAGAAATATCAATATGCAGGGATTGTCAAGCTACTTCTTCATTTCCAATGGACGTGGGTTGGACTTGTTGCATCAAATGATGAAAATGGAGAGAAGTTTATACAAATCTTAGGGCCAATGCTTTCCCAGCATGGAGTCTGCACAGCCTTCATTAAAAAATTACGAGGCTTGTCTCAAGGGTTGGGTCGTTTCAGACCAATGGAAGTCGATCGGATTACGGCCACTATAAAAATGGTCTCAGAAGTCAATATATTAGTTCTATATGCAGAACCTCAGACCATTTCAGCTGTGAGATGGATGGTTTATTTTGCTTCATTTTATGAAGATATTGCAAAGATTTCTATAGGCAAAGTGTGGATTTTGACAGCCCAATGGGCCTTCTCAGCAGAAATATTGCAAAGGCAGGGGGATATTCAATTCTTTGATGGTTCCCTGTCTTTAGCAATTCACACAGAAGAAGTCCAGGGATTTAAAGAATTCCTTCAGACCCTAGACCCGAACTCTCCAAATGGAGATGGGTTCCTCCACGCTTTTTGGGAAAAGACATTCGACTGCTTATTTTCTGATTCCAATGACCCCAATGACAGCAGAGACACATGCACTGGCAAAGAGAGTCTGGAGAGCCTTCCTGGGCCCATTTTTGAAATGACCATGACTGGTCAAAGTTACAGCACCTATAATGCGGTTTATGCCATTGCATATACTTTGCACAAGATTCTCTCATCCAGACCAAAACACAGAAGGATGGCAGGCAGAGGTGGACTCCATCCTCCCAAACTGCAACCTTGGCAGGTAAGATTTCATATTCAGAATAAATCTTTCCTTGGGCTAATCTGATGGGTGATGGCACACAGTCCATAGACTGAATACACAAGGAAGGAAAACACATCTTACAGCATTTTCCTTTACCACACAAAACAAATGTTCTTTTCAGTGCTTCCCTGTTTTCCCTTGCCTTCAAGTTGGAGCCAGAATCAATATATTCCCTGTTCTTCCCCTTCAAGTTGCAGAGGTGGAAGTATCTCCTCCTGCTCTTCCTCACACAGAAATGCCACCTCTTTGTAGAACTCAACAATGTTGTGGAAGGCGCTGCATGTTCTGCTGTCCTATGTGTTTGTGATGCTGATATGTCAGGAGTGGTGAAGAAGGAGGCATGTTAAACTGGAACTCATGTTGTGTTGATATCAGAAAGGTGGTATGTTTTTATCCAGGAAGAACCTCTCCAGTACTTCCCTTGGGCAGCATTTAGGTTTGCTTCTACCACTGACTGCCAAACTGTTAAGTCCAACAACAACGATCTTCTAGAGCCACCAGTTGTTTCTGCACCAATTAACTTATATGCTACCTTCAAATGTCTGGTCAATTTATTAACATGCTCCTAGAAGGTTCCTTATTTACAGGAGGCCCACAATTTACGCTCACTTTACATATGATGGTGGGGGAAAGTAAATAAACAATAGACAGCAGGGAAAAACTTTACCAATTACCTGCTCTCTATTTCTTTCCCCCCTTCCCCCTGCCCTCCCAGAAGATCTCCCTTGCTGACCAGGCTCTCAGAAGGTCCATGGAGGGCCCTGGGTGTGCAGCCCTCTCCCTTGGTTGCTGGGCTCTCGGAAGGAGGCGTGAGGGCGCTTCCCTCCCAAGGCCAAGTGAGCAAAGCAGTGCGTTCCAGCCTCGGGGAAGGAGACACAAGGCCAAAGGGTGCCTCCAACGGGCCAGGAAAGAAGGGGCCCCCTTGTTTATCAGGCTGTGGGGAGGTCATGACGGGGCTCTGGGAGCATCCCTGGGTCCTCCTGCAAGCTTCCCAGAGCATAGGAAGCATCTTTCTGCCTTGTGGAGGGCAGTTCCAGGGGTTCCTGACTTTGCACGATTCTACCTTTGCACATGGAACCCCAGAGCTGAACCCTCAAATACTAAAGTGTCAGACCAACTGTACTTCCGAGAAATCCATATGTGCTCCAATGTTGGACCACACAATTTTTGACTCCTTTCCAATGTGTGACATATATGGATTGATACTTTTTCCTTTCTAAAACCAATAAAGCTTTTCCCTTCTTTACTTTTTGAACTTTGCCTTGTTTTCTTCTGCCTAGCTTCCCTCTTTCCTGAGGAGTATCTCCTTCAACAACAGTGCTGGGGACTTTGTGTCTTTTGATGAGAATGGGGAATTGGCAGCTGGATTTGACGTTATTAACTGGGTTACTTTCCCCAACCAAACCTTCTTGCGAGTGAAAGTAGGAAAGGTAGAACCACAGGAATCGCACAATGTCGACTTGAGCATGGATGAAGAAGCCATCACATGGCACAAAGCATTCAATCAGGTGGGAGTGGACTCTTGTTTTTTCATAAAGGGAACATTTTTATTAATATTAAGACTAAAAATACAAGAATAAGGTCCAATATTCATAACATTCATAAGCCCAGTTAATGCATGAAGTTCTCCTGTCATGCTTAGCTAGGTCACATTAATGTTGGAGTAAAGGGAAAGGGAAGGTCAAGGACACCTGGGCGGTTAGGTCCAGCCAAAGGTGACTGTGGGGTGCAGCGCTCATCTCGCTTTTCAGGCTGAGGGAGCCACGTTTATTCGCAGACAGCTTTCCAGGTCATGTGGCCAACAGGACTAAACTGCTACTGGCACAAAGGAACACCATAACAGAAACTAGAGTGCACGAAACACCATTTACCATCCCGCCACAGCGGTACCTAATTATCGACTTGCACTGGGATGCTTCCGAACTGCTAAGTTGGCAGAATCTGGGAGCTCACCCCATTGAGCACATTCAAACCACCACCCCAATTTCTCAGAAGACAGGAGGAAGATCAGTTACCCATTGGTGCTGAAGGAAGAGTTTTTGTCTTGTAGTGTTTCTCTGAGCCTAATGTATATGTTTCCTATTCTGCCTGCTCTGCCAACTCCCGTTATTTCAGAATCGGTGGTTTTTCACTGTCCTCTTTCTATTCAGTTTCCCTTCTGCTTCACTCCCAATATTAATATTACAATTTATTTATTCATACTTCACCTTTCTGGAATAACAAGAATCTGCCAAATGATCTCATCTCTTTGGTTCAAACTGTGTTCTTTACCATGCAAAGGGAGCTTCCTCTTCTCCTCTTTTTCTGGCTAGGTGCTGCCCCTTGGTTTGTGCAATGATCGGTGCCAGCCAGGCTACAGCCGGAAAAAGAAGGAGGGGCGGCCATTTTGTTGCTATGACTGTGCTTCATGTCCAGATGGGATGATTTCAAATCAAACGGGTAGGAGACATCATCTGCTCTTTTATAAAATGATTCCTAGTCTATTTCAACAGTTTCCCCTTATTGACAATTCAGTAATCCCAAACAGGACAGCAGTTGCACTCAGATCTGCAAGAAAGAAGACAGACACAGAGAGTGGGGAAACGAGAGCCACAACTTTAACCTTTCCAAAGTAGACCTGTTGAAATTGGCATGTTCTCTGGCTGCTCTCCACCTGCCACAGCTTGTGTAGTCAGGGAAGACTTTCCTAACCCTCCATCCCCATAGTTTTAGGGCTGAGAGCCAGAAACACAAAATCAAATTCTGCTGCTCCAAGATATCACAGCGGACTTCTCACTTTTCAGAAGAGACGACTCTTTGCTCTTACAATCAGCGGCGTAGCGTGGGTTATCAGCACCCGGGGCAAGGCAAGTAATTTGCGCCCCCTAACCCGGGGCAAGGCAAGTACAGTAATTTACTCTCCCAAGCAGCAGCAGCGAGGCTTCTCTTTCCCCCGCGCTCTCCTGGAGCTGCCTCTTTTCTTTCCTTTTTTCCCTTTCTCCAAGGCTTTTCGCTTTCTCTCCTTAATTGATTCCTCCTCCACACCGCGGCGTTTCCTGGCTGCTTCCCCCCCCCTTCCCCTCTCTCTCTTCCTCACTCTGCTTGACTTGCCCTGTCCTGCCTGAGGGCGCCCTGAGGAGACTCCGCTCTCCTTTTTGACCAGGCGAGGTGGAAAAAAGGGGGGAAAGTCTCTTCCCGCCCCCTCGCCAGACTCCCTGCTCGGCTCGGCTCACTACCATAAAGCTCCTCTCCCTCCGCTTCGCCAAGCTGTCAAAGCCCGGCAGCAGCGGCAACGGCAGCAGCAGGCGCAGCCAGACCCCCGCCAGCCAGCCAGCCCGCCCGCCCACCCACCCGGCTTCCTCTCCTTTTTTTGCCCGCGGCAGAAGGCTTCGCTCTCCCCCTTCCGCGACCTCCTCGCCAAGCCAAGCGAGCGCGGGCTCCCTAACCCGTGGATTTTAGTAGGGGCAGAGAGCTGCTAGTGTGAGCGCGCCCCCCGCCCATGTTGCGCCCGGTGCGGCCGGCCCCCCTGGCACCCCCACGCTACGCCACTGCTTACAATGGCACCATTTTAACAGTTTTCAATACTTTGCTTCCTAAATTCCTGGTGATTTGATTGATACCACCTACCGTATATGGTTTACAGTTTGTTCTTTCAATGGCACCATATTAACAGTCGTCAATATGTTGCATCTGAGATTCCTGGTGATTTGATTGATAGCACCTATATGGTTTATGAAGAAATAACACCCATTGCATTTTACTGGCTTCCACTTATCTCTGATACTTGTTTCCAAATAATTAATGTCTCAGAATTGTGTTTTGGGAGCAGAAGCAATATTTCTTTCAAAGGAAATTTGAACTGCCATTGGAGATGGAGGAATCTATTTCATTACAAAGAATGAAACATGCCAGAAGAAAAAGGTTGCCTTGTTTGATGGAACTCATATATCATTCATTTGGTTTTTTTAGATGCGGATTATTGTTTCAAATGCCAAGAAGGACAATTTCCAAACCACAACAGAGATCATTGCATTCCCAAGAGCCAACATTTTCTTAGCTACACAGAGCCTTTGGGAATCACATTAGCTGCCTTAGCTCTGCTCTTTGCTCTGGTCACAGCCTTGGTCCTTGGTGTCTTCTCTAAGAACAGGGACACTCCCATTGTCAAAGCCAACAACCGGGACCTCACCTACACTCTGCTCCTTGCCCTCTTGCTCTGCTTCCTCTGCTCCTTGCTCTTCATTGGCCAGCCTCACCCAGTCAGCTGCTCTTTACGACAAACGGCCTTTGGCATCATCTTCTCCATTGCGGTGTCTTGTGTCTTGGCCAAAACCATCACGGTGGTTCTGGCCTTCATGGCCACCAAACCAGGATCCAGGGTGAGGAAATGGGTGGGGAAATCTCTGGCCAACTCTGTTCTTCTGGGTTGCTGCTCACTTCAGGCCAGTATTTGTGTTCTTTGGCTCTGTACGGCTCCCCCCTTCCCAGATGTGGACATGAACTCTCTGGCAGAGGAAATCATCCTGGAATGCAACGAAGGCTCTGCTCCCATGTTTTATTGTGTCCTGGGGTACCTGGGATTCCTGGCCAGTGTCAGCTTCACCATGGCTTTCCTGGCCAGGAAGTTGCCAGACAGTTTCAACGAAGCCAAGTTCATCACTTTCAGCATGTTGGTGTTCTGCAGCGTTTGGCTGTCCTTTGTTCCCTCTTATCTGAGCACCAAAGGAAAACAGATGGTGGCTGTGGAGATCTTCTGCATCTTGGCCTCCAGTGCAGGCTTGCTCGCTTGCATCTTCTTCCCCAAATTGTACATAATCCTTCTGAGGCCCGACTTGAACAGCAAAGACCACCTGATTCTGAGGAGCAAATAAGAGTCAACTTGCGTTGATCCCTTTAATTGTTGCATTATTAGGAAATGCAGACATTTGTTGGAATAAAACTGGCCAAGGAAATCCCTTGTGTGTCCCAATTCTTATCTTTTCCATACTCCATTTTTTCACCCCCTCTCGTCATTGTCTATTTATATACAGCATTTTTCACAATCTCTGCTGGAAATGGTTGACACAAGATCTAAGACTAAACACAGTAGTACATAAGAACATTGGGAGAACTTGCTAGATCCGGCACAACAAGATCAACTAGATGCAGCAATGGAAAACCCACAAGCCCTCTCCCCTCCTGTGGGTTCAAAGCAACTGGTGTTTTCAGGCATTGCTGCCTCCAACTCTGGCAACACAGCAGAGACATCATTTTTTGAAATATTTATATTTTATTAAGGTGATTTCAGTTAAATGAAATAAAGAGATACAGAAAAAAAGAAGGAAAAGTGAGAGGGAAACAACAACAACAAAGATACGTATAAAAGCAAAAATTAAAAATTAAAAATACGATATTCCCATACGTTCTTCTATAAATCGGTATAGTGTTATTGTCCTAGTGCTTATGTAATTGTTAATTTACATAGCCTACTACATTTTGTATAAACTCATTCCCAATGTTATCATATTTATCCATACAGAGTCTGCGCCTGTAAGCAGTCCGCTCATAAATTGCCACTGATGTCATGTCATCAGTCCTTGGATTGAAGGTGTCATACCTTTATTTTTCCAATTCCTCAATGTCAATCTCTTGGCCACCATTCGGGCACAGAAAATCCATTTCCATTGTCCCGTCAATGGTTCCCATACTGCAAGTATATAGTTCAATGAAATATTCTCCACTGAAATATTTAACTTTTCCTGCACAGTCATAGTTACACAGCCCAGGACTTTCTCCAGAACTTATTCAGTGCAGAAGACTGTACAGACATATGTTTCAGAGAAGCATTGTCCTCGCCACATCTCCAGCACTGAGCTGTCTTAGCTAGCCCTTCTTAATACAACCGTAAAGGAGTCCAATAAACTCTCAATTTTCTTTTCTGTTGTATCAGTTTTAATTTTAAATCTAATGACACCTTGGGTATTGAAGCTGAAACATTTCCCCACTGTCTGGGCAATGTTGAAAGTTCCCATTCTTTATTCCAATCATCTCTTACAGTCTGCATATTGAACTTGTGTATTGTTAATAGATATCTATAAAAAGTAATTGCTTAATTTTTGAATAAGTTGTCCAGTTGTTCCAGTATCTCAGCTGTCTCAGAAGCTGAAAGGCCTGACGGCTCAAACAAACTTGTTAGGAGATGTTGCAATTGAAGATATTGCCATTGGGCTGCAGCTGATAGATTATATTTTTATCTTAAAACAGCAAAAGTATGAAATTCATCTTCCTCATCTATGAGTTGGTCCATTGTCAATGCACCTACTTCCATCCAATTTTTCCATATCGCCATTTTGTTTGCAATTCTTAGTGTGGGGTTTCCCCACAAAATAAGTTTAGCATGTGAAAATTGATCAAATTTGTTTTTATTAGTCAATATATTCCATATTCTTCTAAGTGATTTGTTTCCAGAGTCACCTGAGATTTCAAATATTTCAAACCTAGTATTATCCAATCAACCAGAGGTGCTATGTACATATATTCCAGGGTTGCCCACATCGGCCAACAGTGGGATTCCAATATTTAATACTTGACAGTAGGGAAGCATAATGATATAATTCCAAATTTGGGATTTTGAAACCGCCTTCTTTAATTTGTAGCTGCATTCTCTGGAAGAATATTCTTGGTGTTGCTGAGCCCCAAAGGCATTTCCTGAACAATGAGTTTTATCTTTTGAAAATATGATCCAGATATAAAAACTGGAAGCCCTTTCGGGATATAATCTGGGAATAATATTCATTCTGAGAGCATTCACCCTTCTCCAAAGGATAAGGTTTAATGGCTCCCACCTATCAATATCTGCGGAAACCTCTTTTATTAATTTATTCATATTAACTGTAACTAACTGTGTTATATATCTTGGTATTAACATGCCTACACATTTAATAGATTCAGAACAAACTCCAAATTTATATTCCATGAATGAGTGTGTAAACCAATTTTGACCTATTGGCATCAATTATGGTTTGGACCAAATAGCACAATAGCCTGATATTTTACCAAAAGCGTCTATCATTTGCATCAAGATGGGTATACTAGTCTGAGGTTCCAAAATAAAAAAAAGTATTGTTAGGTGTGTCCTACACAGGAGTAGGACCTTGGTAAAGACACATGCCCGCCTAGCATGCTCTCTCCCTCCTGGTCGATCATTCAGGAGCTTCAAAAGCTTTCTCCAGCCCAAACATCACAGCGACTGATGCCAAGAAGCATCAGCACACTTACGGAACAGCAGAGTTTTAGCGGTTCGCATAACAGAACTCAGTAGCTCAGCATTTTGGCTAATCTACTTTATTTACATATAATACACTTGGAGCATTCTGCCTAGCTCCCTCCTCTTTCTCATCAGACAGCAAAGAGAAAGAACAAAGGACAATAGTCCCACTTCATGGAACACAGTAACTCAAGACATCCTTGTTATGTACTGAAGTTCTCACCCTGGGCCAGCAGGGGGATACTATAGATAGTTTTCACTCAGGTCCACGTCAGTTATTTTAGGCGGGAAACCCTGGGTTGATAGCTGGCTGCCTATAAAAGCAGGCCGGCTGAGCTGTTTGCTGTTCAGTTCTGTTCCAGCTTACAAATAAAGAGCTGCTTTGGAGAAATTGCTGTGTCGTCTGCCATGTCTACCCACTATTCAACAATCCTGTCTCCGTCACTTCCCACACTGTGGAATGAAAACATACACTGTCATGTGATAGACAACAATCTCATGACTGCAGACAGGGAGCAGGAATCCAAACAAGTATATCGTCTGCAAATAAAACTAACTTATGTTCAACTGAATTATGAACTGTTCTGTGAATCTAGTCAGGTGCTCTTAAATATTTAAATAACAAAGGTGAAAGTAGACATTCCATGTCTGGCAGCAGACATACCATTCACTTTGACTCTAGGTGTGGGTGTCTCGTACACTACTTTGATCCATTTCATAAACTCCAAGGGAAATCCAAATTTAATCCAAAGCTAACTCCATATAGTTTTTATAATTGTTATCAAAGGCCTTTTCGGCATCTAATGATATGATTACAAACTGATCTTTATTTTTATTTCAGTCAGCCAAATCTACCACTAATCTAATGTTATCTGCAGCCTGTCTTGTTTCTGGAAAGCCAGTCTGATCCCTCATGATTACTGCCACAATTAGCTGTTAGATTCTGTTTCCTGGTGTCTTTGGGGTGGCTGAAACTGCAAGGGTCCCAAGGGAAGAGACCTATCCCTAGGATCAGGGTGGGGGTTGCGGGAGAGGAGGACCACCTCCCACCTCTGCATTGGGCCATTGCAGTGAGACGAGCTGGATCCCACCATAGGCCATGGCCCCAGCGGAGAGGGCAGCTGCTGATGCAGAAGTCCTTTGGGTCTGGCTCAGGCAGCTGCTTCCCCTAGTGGAAATAGTGCCATCATGGGAGGGGGGCAAGAACATCTGAAGGCCAAGCTGTGCCAAGCCAGGACATGGGGGGGGGTCAACCATGTGGGAGGGGGGAGAGGAGAATGGGAAAGAATTACCCCAGCACTGTGGTGACCAGGCATCGAAGGTTCGGTCCTGCTGGTCTGCTTTAGCAAGATGTTTCCTGCAGGACTGAACTCCCTGCTCTCTGCAGCAAGCTCAGGAGAAGGACGGAAGGAGTTGCTGTGTTCCTCACACCTCCCCAGCAATAGGTAAAGGTAAAGGACCCCTGAATGGTTAAGTCCAGTCAAAGGCGACTCTGGGGTTGCAGCGCTCATCTTGCTTTCAGGCCGGCGTTTGTCCACAGACAGCTTTCCGGGTCATGTGGCGAGCATGACTAAACCGCTACTGGCACACAGAGGAGAGTGACGAGTGCCAGAGTGCATGGAAACACTGTTTACCTTACCGCCACAGCTGTACCTACCGTATTTTTCGCCCCATAGGACGCACCGCCCTATAGGACGCACCTAGTTTTTTTTGGGGGGGGGGAATAAAGGGGAAAAAATATTTTTTCCCCAGGCCTGAGCTTCCCCCGACCCCAGCCCCAGAACAGCCTGCTATCCGCAAGCCTAGGGAGCCGCGCCGGTCTCCCCAGGCTGGCGGACATCTGCGCGAAGCCCGGGCGCACCGAAGAGGCTTTGTAATGCAGGCAGCTCTGCGCAACCCTCCGGAGCCCGGCGTGGCTTGGCGCCGGGCTCCGGAGGGTTGCGCAGAGCTTCCTGAAGCCTGGAAAGCGAGAGGGGTCGGTGTGCACCGACCCCTCTTGCTCTCCAGGCTTCAGCGAAAGTCTGTATTCGCCCCATAGGACACACACACATTTCCCCTTCATTTTTGGAGGGGGAAAAGTGCGTCCTATAGGGCAAAAAATACGGTATTTATCTACTTGCACTGGTGTGCTTTCGAACTGCTAGGTTGGCAGAAGCTGGGACAGAGCAATGGGAGTTCACCCCCAGGTTCAAACCACCGACCTTCTGATTGGCAAGCCCAAGAGGCTCAGTGGTTTAGACCACAGCAATAAAAAAGTTTTAAAAACCTAGAGTTAAACATTGGCTCCACGCCCCAAATAGATTTTGGAGCAGATCTGGGTCCAGTGTTCGCCAGGTAGTAGACAAACTAGAGCAGTTATTTTAAAAAATTGTACTTGGAAAGGAACAGTGGTGTTATTAGAAAAAACTGCTCCTTTTTCCCTTGTGGGGTATCCAAGAGCCCATATAGAGTCCTTATGCAGGTTCCCTATCGGTAGGAGAAAATAACAGAGGCCAACCAGAGAATAAAGGTAAAGGACCCCTGACAGTTAAGTCCAGTCACGAACGACTCTGGGGTTGCGGCACTCATCTCGCTTTACTGGCTGAGGGAGCCGATGTTTGTCCGCAGACAGTTCTTTTGGGTCAT